ATGGAAAAAAACAAAGCAAGCCATTCTAACATCACCCTTATTTGCAAGAATGCCTTTGGGACACAAATCAGCTCCATAGGCATTCTGAATAAATGAAAATGGTACTTGACTGCAACCCATTGCTTTGTGGACAGCGTACCTTAATTCTGGAGTGGGGGAGGAAGAGAGATAAAAGGGAAGATAGAATGTTGTAGATTCATCTATTTTAAGAGTTGGAAGGGAGATTGTGGATCTTCTAATCCAACCCCCTGCCCAACGTAGGAATCCACTATTTCAATATCCTCAATGGATGTCAATCCATCCTCTGTTTAAATGCCTCCAGTGAAGGAAGGTCCACCGCTCAGTCCTGAGTAGAAGTAAAAGAGCATCCCAGGAATGTTAGAGCAATTGCTTTAGGTTACTGGTAAACTGGTATTACAATTCTCATAATTCTAAATGAGTCCATTGGTCCCAAATTACTGTCTTACACATAGTAAACATTCCATTCACAAGGAGAAGATGCAGAAGGCCTTGTAGCACTATATCCGAAATCAGACTACACAATATTTAATCTGGTTGGAAGTGAGAGAACGTTGATCATTCCAGGAAATCTGAATAGCAAGAAAATTGAGCAGAATTACATCAAAACTGGGGCCATTTCTTCATTGATAGGCTTTACATGCAGCTAATCTCTCCTAGCTGAAAATGAAATTCATAAAGTGTGAAATCAACAGCTAGTAACTGCTTCAAATACTCAGGACTGCAAAGGAAAAACAGCATTCAAGGTTGGGCTGGCCCTTGTTTGCGCCTTTACGCCTTTAAATTTCATGCATTTATGCATAGGTACACAGAAGAAATGGTATTTTCCTCTGTTTAAGTCTCTACAATGAATGAACCGTGCATGGCTATTAAAAACCTGGTAAAATGACTGGATTTTTTACAAAGTACAAAGTACAAATCACTCTGAGTATGCAGATGCTTTTAAGTGATGAAATACGATCTGAAGAGAAACCAGAGATGAAAATTGTCTTAAAGGCAACTGGCTTCTTTTTATTTATCAGAGCTAACAATTATACAATCTCTTTTGCAGATTTGTATCAGCTGATTGCATATGGTAATTATAAAATTAAAACATCCTGAGACGTGGCCATCCAGCATCATCTTAAAACCTTGGAGGTTTAAGAGGTGGAGAACCTACAACTTCCATAGGCAGATTGTTTCACTGTTGTACATATCTTACCATCAAGATTTTTTTTTTCTTACATTTAAATGCAATCTAGATAGCTGCTGAATATATCTGTTATTTCTGGTCCTAGTTTCTGTGGAAAATAGATCATTAAATTCATACCACACTGTGTCAATTTTTACAGAAGAAAGATAAATCAAAATTTCAAAATATCTGAAATTTCACAGACAATTTATGTATTAAGATCTTGGTGTGGTTCTGATTCTAGCTCAGAAAAGAAGTCATGGGACTTCAAAAAGCTATCTTAAAGGAGAGACATGCTTTCCTGGATTACATTTGGGCTAAGATATTTAAGCTTTCCTTGTCTCTCTGTCACAACTCACCGAGAGATTTCCAACCTGATGAATTTTATCAATTTCACATACACATTTCATTTCTGAATCACACTTTCTGCAATGTATGATTTTAAAGAAATGAGTACCTGAATCATTTTAAAAGTATTTGTTCACAATTTTTGCATGCACATTAACTATAATTTCTCTGTGGACTCATATGCACTGTACATTTTGTCCTACAATAAACACTTTCATCCAAAATATATGTTTGATATTTTGGTACATTTTTAAAGCCTATTACACTGAAAAATTCAGAGAAGGTTCACTTAAAATTGGTCTGAACAAAAACTTCAACATAGGTAGCCTGCAATTCACTCAGCAGAACCACAGGAAAAACTAAGAATCTCTTATGCCATTTATTTTAAAATATATCCTTTCAAAATGCACTGATTAATCATCAATATATGATGTAGCAACTCATTTTCCCATACCCTAGAAACAAATCAATGACTTGATGTTCAAGGATGGATGAACTGAAGAAATGATCACCAGTTCAACCTGTATGGATCTCTATGTGTTTGCTCATTTTCTCATATCTGAATGCCTTATTTAAGTATTTGTTTAAATATAAAGAAAGAGCAGGAGTACAGACAATTGTTTTAATGTTTTGGACTTGTATTTCTATATATTTGTTTACAAGAAAGACCCATTTAATCACTCACATATTTTATTTGTAACTTTATTTGCATTTATTTTTCTGAATATGAACAGGTAAAATGAGTGCATTTACAATGATACTCTAATCTTGTTTGAACTCCTAATGGCTAATTCTCACTTCATTAAGATTCCTAATTCTGTTGCCATGAACCTAAAGAAGCAATAACTCAGGTATTAATTCATTATTTATTCATCATGTTTGGACTTTTACTTTTTTTTTAAAATACAAAGAAGAAGAATGCAGGTTACTCATCCAAATTTGCATATCATGAAAAAATAGTCAGCAAGAGAAGATTTATTTCACTATAGCTACTAGAAAGAATTAATGTTCAAGGTAAGGTAGAATTTTTTACAATTCTGGCTTACCATGAAACATGGCCAATTTCTTATACTGTTGACATTACAGTTTGGGGTACATAGGGATACTGGCATTAATAAATGGGATAACTGAATGAATAAAAATGATTGATGTAGTTATCCAGCATGTCTAGAATTTTTGAATAACTATACTTTTAATTAGTTATTCATCTTACTGTTATTTTTCTTTTTCTGTTAATATTTTATTAGACTTATACCTACTCCAACCAAGAGGCATACTCAGTGGTTTAGGTATGTCCATAAAAATACAATAATACATTCATGTATAAAAGAAACAAGCCACAAAATAAACACAATGACATATCAATCAGTTGCTTGTTTTTCAAAGTTTACTACCTAATTTTTTTATAGCTTTTAGTACAGTTTGCATCTATTTTCCACCTTGAAAGGGTGGGAAATTGATGCTTTCTGTTCCAGCAATCATGATCAGAGAGAATTCCAAGGGTTACAGAATGTGATCCTAGACACTACATTTGGCTCTGGAGTTGGAGGATGCCCAGCTGTGAAGTATGAAACACTTTAATATCTATCCCCTCAGCTTCTTGGTGTACAGATGTGTCTGTCAGGCTAAGTTTTTTTTAAAAAATGGAAAAATTAAAAGGCTAAAAGACTATAATTGCTAAGGAAATGGAGGCCTACATTTATCTCACCTTAGAATCAATCAAAGCCAATAGCCATGCTTTCACACATGGAGGGGCTGCTCCACAGCAAAGACTTCATCCCCATGGGTACAGCATGACTATATGCAGTAGGATCATGTATTTATAGAGATAATCATGCTATGCGCTTCAAGATCTGGCTTGTAGGTGATCTCTTTTGTAAGGCCTGTTCACCAATCCTTGGATGTAGAGTTGTTTAGGGTTTTTCACTCAGTAGAATGTAGGCATTGGTCCATCTGGCTCAGTGCATCACAATCTCATTTTAACAGACTAACTGGGGAGAAAGCTGTCAATTATGCAAATCCTGTGAATCATAGTAGAAATTTGGTCTGCTGTATACAAAGTCTGTTGCTGTGAAGTCCAATAAAGCACTATATTGCTAAAAGTGAACAGCAACTTCAAACAGGAGTTTTTTGAGGGTCTATTTTGAGATGTTAGGAAATTAGAATTGTTATTTATTTATTTATTTATTTAATTTAGCGCATTTGTATAGCCACCCCTCTCACAAACACACAACTCTGGCATCATACAACACAGCAACAGTTAAAAACTCCACAACAATCTAAAAACAATCAAAAATAAAATAAACAGTTAAAGCAAACAGATAAAATAAACATATAAAACCCAAGAAACGGGAGAACAAACATCACTTAATCTCATACAGCCACCTTGCAGGCTCTCCCTGGGGTCCCCAAGGTTGGTGAAAAAAACATGTTTTAAGGGCCTTCCGGAAGGCTAACAGAGATGGGGTAACCTCACCTTGAGGGGAATAATGTTCCAAAGGCTGGGGGCCATAGCAGAAAAGGCACTCTGCCTGGGTCCCACCAGATGGAGCTCCTTTGGAGACAGGACCTGCAGCATACCCCTCCTGCCTGACCTGGTGGGATGGGTAGATGTAATCAGGAAGAGGTAGTCCCTCAAATAACCCAGTCCCATGCCATGTAGGGCTGTAATGGTCCAAACCAGCACCTTGAGCTGCATCTGGAAGCAAACTGGCAGCCAATGAAACTAGTGGAACTAGGGGCACATGGAACTCTCTGCGCAGCCACATTCTGCACCATCTGAAGTTTCCAGATGCTCTTCAAGCAAAATGTTTTTCATGCAAAACAGGTATTAAGTTAAGCAGAGATAACAGATGAAGGCTCTGCTCCAATTTCTCTCTTTTCTTTAGTTTTTTTTTTAATTTCCCCAGAAAATAGGATATTTTAAAAACATCTAGATAATGATTAAAAAAAAAAAACCAAGCACAAAGCTGCAGCTCTATGAATCAAAACAACTCCTTTATTTTAACACTAGAGAACACAATTGTGAATTAACAGTATAATGGAGAAGATACTATCATTTGCAGATAAATTGGATGTCTATGTCTTCAACTTTTGATATGCTCAGCAGCAGCAGTAGCAAAAGAAGCATATTCACTTCAGAAGCATACATACCTTAGCAAAACAATTTACAGGGTTGAGGGGTGGGGAAGCAAAACTAACTAGATAAAAGGCAAGCTTAGAAAAGGCCTAGAACAAAATAAAGAAACAAATTAAAACTTTGCTTGCGTTCCCAATAAAATAAGGGGAAAAAAAGGATTTGCTATTTTTTTTCCCGCTGAATTTTAGAACAAGATCTTAAGTTAAATAGACTGGAAGCAGCAGAATCGGAACAGTCCTCTGAGCAGGTGCTAATTCTGCTAAAAAACTGAATACACCTGGAGCCATGACAGTTACCTTTATTACATTAATTTAGCTTTATTACCTTCATTCTCTTCCTTTGTCAGAGGAAAGCTTCCTCCGTTGGAAGAAGGGAACCTTTGGATCCAACCCATTAGATTAAGATCTGTATGGGGAGAGGAAATTGACCATTGAGGTCCATGGAATTATGGTCCTTATAACATTTATCCAATTACTGTTAATTACTGGGATTTTCATTTTTTAACTAGCAAAACAGTAGGTTTTACAACATCCATTTTGTTGAAGTATCCTCTTTCACTTAGGCATTCTTACCATACAGATAATAATTCAAACAGTCCAGGAACTGGTTAAAGATTAAGAGCAATTCTAAGACACACTATCTTTGTAAAAAACAGAATATTGCTTTTCTTTACACATCATCTAATAGCACTAACAAATTAATAAGGTGCTTTCTATTATTAATTCCCATCCTCTACCTCTACATAATATGAATAACTATGAGTTCTCTGAATACATTTTCAGTTTGTGCTAATGCATTAAACTCTAAAAATAAAGGAATAAAATATTCAATATTTTTTTTAAAAAATGAATACTTTTATTAATTCAAGAAATATATCAAAAATAAGAGAGAAAATATATGGAACAAAATACTTATTTTAAACTGCATGTAACAAATAGTCTCTGAGTAGATTGCATGAAATAGTAAAATCCACCCCCAAATCCAAGATAAAGCTGTAATAAAATCCAATCCAATTTAATTATGTAATGTAAAAACTACAACAAGGTGTGGCTGTTTGTTAATATATTGTATAACATGCAAGAACATTCTACATGGTTGATTATTACCAGCTACTATTACCATGCTAGGCAAGAAATTACTTTTGCTTGTATTTACATCCACTAACAGATACAAGTGTTGTTTTTCTAGATTGACAAAATATTTTGAAACTTATTCACTATTACACAGTCAATATAAACTGTATTAAGCTAAATTGTGGAAGGAAATAGAAGATGACCAGCAGCAAGGTGGATGGACTCAATGACAGTGGCAATGGGTGCACCCTTGGAAGACCTGAAGGACCAGACTGGGGACAGATCCTCTTGAAGAAACTCTTATGTGGTCAGTAAGAGTCAACACTGACTTAGTGGCACATAATCAAATCAATCAATCCAGACATGAAATTATTCTTAGATATTCTGAAGGAACAGGACAATGGATGACCAACATCAAAGTGAAAAACAAACATTTAAAACCTGCCATCTACCCAAATGCCTCACTGCAACACCTTTTACAAGCTGAACACCTGAAAAATGGCCTCAAATTTTATAGGCCTCATTTTTATCCCTCAAAACTTAGGAAAAAATTTGTAAACTGTTAAAGGAAAAAAAAAGTGGACATGTGCATTGTGAGATTAACTAAAACTACTTCTAAGCAATATCAAGTTATGTCTGAAGTAATCATAGAGTAGGATTACAACCAGCCTTCCTTATCTGGAGAACTGTCACCAAAATGATCAGTACCCTGCTTTAAAAGTGAAAGAAATAATGAAAACTATGGAAAACATTATTTATTTATTTATGCAATTTCTATAGTCACCCATCTCAATCCAAGTGACTGTAAAATCGCTAATAAATGGTGGAAATGGCATTGTATTTAAACTTTTTTAAATGCTGAAAAAAAAACCCATAATTGATTAAAGCTGATTGAATTTGAAGAGAACATTTGGAAGGAGGAAGGTCACTTTCAAAGATCCAGTTGATAATTATACCATATGTCCAAATCATACATTTAACTAGTTCTATTATCTGAGGTTGTCATAGGCCAAAGAGGGAAAAAACAGAAGGAACTCCCCTTTCATGCCTATGAAAGATAATCAGTAATGTTAATAGATAAGCAAACACTCAGTTGGGAGCCTAACCTTTCATATTTTTTTGCTTCTACCTCACTGTTGATTCTTTGCTGTCTGTTTCCATTCATTTTAGGAGGGAGCAGTTTTCAGAGTAACCGAAAGGGAGCAGTTACTCTTTTTAAAAGGTTTAGGAATTTATGAAAGCAGGCTCCTAAATCAGGAAGGGGTCCAACGCATAGTAGAGGAGATCCCCATATCAGACATTCTCCAATGACATGCGGAAGAGAGTAGGACCTGAAGACAGGACAAGACAGAGTGAGGGCATCTTCCCTTGGCTCCACCCACCTCATGACACCCACCTCATGACACCCACCTCCATGACACCTCATGACAATCAGCATTATCTGAATAGAATGGTCATTGTCATATTATCTGAATACACAAGACCATCACAGGTTAATTCTTATAATTGAAAGGGTATGAAGGAAATCAGAAATGAGTATTTAGAACACCAGGCAGAGCCCAAGTTTACTTGTCATAAAACGATTCTCAATTAGCAAGCCCTCAAGTATTTTTAGGTTCAAACTAACGCCCATTAGGTTCTGCCGCCTTTCTGAAAAGAGCAGAGCTTTAAAATGTCTGTTTGACATGCAGCCTAGTAACCCATCGCAGGAGTTTTATTCTGCTTTATAAGCCAAGCCAGTCTGTGTCACTAAGGTTATATAATTCAGCAGAATCTTGGCAGAGATACGGGGAAAAAAATTAAAATACAATGCATGGTAGAATTAAATTACTTATGTGGTATTTGGTGCTTTTCCCATGTATTTCTCACAAAATCTGTAGAGGGCTCTATAAATACTTAAGACTACACTGTAGCATGACTGAGAAGTAATAACAGATAATCCAGTATTAGCACTTCAGTAAACTTTAATTCCTTTTATATGTACATAACCATGCTATTCCCTTCTGGTATAAGCTATGTTGTTCAGAGTGCAGAAAGGGAATAAGAAAAAGCAAGCCAGTGAAATTAAAGGAATGGGATAAGAAAAAGAAAACACAGCTAAAATGAGTTTACACTAACCACGCCATACCTTTCTATCTTCCCACCATTTAAACATTGCCTTTTGTTGTTTAAACTTTTTACTTATTTTTTTTTTCCAGGATCTCATCAATTCCATAGAACCAAAACTTTCTTGGGTCTTCCCCTTCTTCTCAATCTGTTTATTCTTCCTTCATATACTTTTTTTTAAAAAAAATCCAATCCTTATTTAGTGTCTTTATATGGCCGAACACTTCAACATACTTCTTCCATACCAGTTAGGCACTTTTGTACTCATCCAAATTCATTCAGTACCCACTCATTATTTCTCTTCTTCCTTTACTACATATACTTCTTAAATAACTGATTCCTACTGAATTTAACTTACTTTTATATTTCCCCTGACTTGCCCAATGCTCACCTTCCTATAACAAGGTGAGCAGAAGCATGTTCTTACATAAGCTTCTCTCAACAAGTATTACCACTACTTTTCTACCAAGGTTTGTGAGCCTTAAGATTCAGCATCTCCAGTTATACCATCTACATCTGCAGTCTTATCATTGTTCAACAATTTTCACAGCATTTAGGATTTCTTTTTCATAGATTAGCAAAAGGGTGGGGGCCACAGGGATTTCAACATTATTTTTAATCCCATTCACTCTGCTGAAGGCTCCTTGTTTAGCCTTGTAGTAAATAGGGAAAATCCCATTCTAAGTTCCTACACTCTTAAGAGTTAAAGGAAAACATGGGTCTGTCAATGCAGATACTGGGCAGAGAGGAGCAGGTTCCATTCTCAGGTGGGTTTTTAAAAAGAGAAAGGGTCTGGCTCCATTTTTGCTTTCTATCTTTTGTCTTACTACTTTCAGAGCTCTTCCCTAGCTGATTGCTTCCATTCATACTTTAAAACCTATGAGCCAAAAAAGTTCACACTTGACCTTTCCCCAAGCTAGTGACCTTGATATATGTATACTGCATTACCAATTTATAGTAGCTATTAGAGCCATGGCTTCAACCATTGTGCTGTGGCAGATTTGTATGTGCGAAAGGTCCCCAGGTGTGCCGCATCAGTGAGCCACAAGTAAATGATGGGAAATGCTGCACAGCCACACAACCATCCCCCTGCCTCTGTGACATCACTAGAGGCAGACTGCCTCCATTTCTCCTCCCACGTCACAGCAACCTGTAACATCATGAGACTTCTGGTTTTGTGATTTGGAAGTCCTGCCTATGAGATGTGACACCACACACATTAGCACCTTGTCAGTGTGCCATGAGATGAAAAAAGTTGAAAACCACTGTTTTAGAGTAATCCATTCATTGTTGTGCTAACATAAAAGTAATGAGGACAGGCTTTATATTACTTCATTAATGGCTGGGTGGTGCTATGAGGATGATATATAGTGCAAAAATGATCTATATCTCTCCTTGTTCCCATCAACATGGCTAACAACCATAGGGTTGACTTATTATTGAAATGTGTCAATCGTCACACTAAGAAAACTAAGCCAGTTTTGAAACACTTTATGTTCAAATAAGGGAAACGCTCTTGTAAAACTTGAGAACTGAATATAACATGAAAGCATTTCACGAATTAATTCACATTTGAAAAAGTGATAACATTTAAAAAATCGCAGCGGTTTCTTTATATTTTAGTGAAACAGCTGGTATGCTAGAGGGGAAAGTCAAATTCAGCCAGTTCTTCTAAGCAGCAAGGGACAAGCAGAGTGGCTAAAAATGGCTATTTTGGAGACGAACACAAACCAGAAGTAATGCATTTCTGCTCCGTCAAACCACCATGTATGTTAGTGTTAGGAACATGTTGTCCAGCAATGCTACCTCCCCAAATAGGTCTGAAACATTTTCCACTGTTGCAGAAGGCATCCTCTTTGTTATGTCGAGATGCTTCATGGGGCACCATAGGGACTAGGTGCTTCTAGTGCCAGACACTGCAGGCAGTGACATATGGTTTCTCTACTAAACAGGCTGTTTTTCAAGAGTCTCCTTGTGCAAATGAAAATGGCTTCTAGAACATTTTGCTTGTCCTTTGCTTCTCTGTTAGAAAGGCTGATGTTGCTATGCCCCCTACTGACCAGAAAGTTCTGAGAGGTCCACAACATTTGCAAACCCTTTGGTGACATTGACATGGACTGTGCTAACTTTCCATTGGCAACAGCTTACAATGGCCTGCCAATCCAATAGAGAGAAATCTGGTAAACTTCAATATTACAACCATATCTGTTTCCTAAATAGTGCTGG